GTCGTTCCACGAGACCTGGAGCCGAATTTTGTACGTCGTTTCACACAACTTTGAACACGCGAACTTTGTCGTGCAACTTTGCAAATTTGCACGAAAAGAACGTTGCAGCGCAAAATTGTGCGAGACCACGTACAAAAATTGTACTAAAATTTATGTGCTGGTTTGTTGGTAGCTACGATACAGTACGTACACTACAAAATCCACTGTGTACCTAGTATACATCTATAGGAGTGTACTTGGCAAGTACACATCTATAGGAGTATACTTGCCAAGTAGACATCTATAAGAGTATGCTTGCGGGCAAGTATACATCTATAGGAGTCCGAGTACACTCCTATAGATATGTACTTGTCAAGTACACTCCTATAGATGTGTACTTGGCAAGTACACTCCTATAGATGTATACTAAGTACACAGTGGATTTTGTAGTGTACGTGTTGCCCAAGTTAGTTTTTTAGTGGGTTTTTTTCTCTCTTTTTTCTAGCCGTGGTTTCTTGCCGGCCGTGAGGCGCCGCGCCATGCTGGCCGCTGCGTCTCTCGCGCCGTGCGTTGGCCAACCGAGTCGCCATTGTGTAATGACGGCGTCCGCGGCTTCCCGACCGCTCTACTCTCTCTCTCTCTCTCCTCTCTCTCTCTCTCTCTCTCTCTCTCTCCTCCCCCCTCTGCCTCACTCGCGCGACTTTATTTTGTCCTGCGCATATCATGTGTTTTATTGGCATGAGGCTTAGGTGCGTTGCGCGCTCGTGTGTGTGTGCATTCTCTGTGCGTGTGGTGTGTGTGTGTGTGTGTGTGTGTGTGTGTGTTGGTATTGTGTGCGCGAGGGACATAACGCCCCCGCACAGCGCGATGCCCCCTTCCCGTTTTTTCCGCCGTTCCCCTTTCCCCCTTTTCTTTCGCCCACTGCTCGCGAATGACAATATAACTGCGGCGATGATGGTGCGGTTTCGTTCCGTTCGTTCCGCAACGACTTGGCTTGAATGCCGTTTGCGCTGCTCGAACGCGGCACGCGGTGTGGTGCACGCGGTGTAGTGCTAGTGCACGCAGTGTGGTGCACTCGCTCTCTCGTGCACTGCAAGAAAAAGTGTGAATAGTACAACAAAAGTACAACAAAAACTGTAGAATAAAAAATAAGTACGACGGGGATTCACTGGTAGCACTAAAGCGTAAACTCTATACTTGAGTCAAGCATAAACTTACGCTTGAAATAAAGCATAGACTGGGAATTCCCCCCATGCATTGAGATAGGGAGAAACTTGGCGGATGAACCTACACTGTGAGAAAAAAGTACGGAAACAGTACGGAACATGTCTGGTCAATAATTTGCCTGGAACGTCCGTACTTGCCAACTAAGGAACGTTCCGTACTTTTTTTCCGTACCCATTTACATGGGTTCATGGAGCAAGTACGGGACGTTCCGTTTTTTTATCCGTACCTCCGTACTATATTTTTCTGTACCATTTCCGTAAAAAAGTACGGAATTTTTTACAGTGTATTATGCTTGATTTGAAGCGTAAACTGATTACGCTTGACAACAGAGGGTAATACCACGCTTTAGTTTTACCAGTGTTGTAGAAAGCACTACGAGAATTGTACAAACCACCACGAGGCCGGACTGCACAGCACTCGTCATGCCTGTTCCATCGTACTTTGTACAACAATTTATGTTCTTTGAAGGTACAATAAATTCCTGATAAAAAATTTGCCAGGAATTTGTGTACTTTTGTTGTTGTTTTTTTTTCCTCGCAGTGTGGGAGTCTCCACTCGGCTCGACTTGGCTCGCCGTGCTTGCGAGGGGCGGGTCGGGTTGGGTCGGGTCGGGGACTGGCCGGGCATTCGCGGTTTTCCGAAGCCACGGCGGAAAAGCAAGGAAAAAGTTGCAATCTTTTGACAGTGCTGTGCGCGTGCCACCGGGAATGGGCCGACGTCCGGTGTCCGAGAGGCAGACCCTCCCCCCCCTCTCTCTCTCTCTCTCTCTCTCTCTCTCTCTCTCTCTCTCTCTCTCTCTCTCTCTCTCTCTCTCTCTCTCTCTCTCTCTCTCTCACTTCCGAACACCTCGCCCTGCACTCTGGAAGCCCGCCCCTCGGTTCCGAGGAAAGCCTATCTATCGGTGACGGGCAGCACACTGATTCCGAGAGTCGTTTTCGTCGCTCTGTGTCTCTCGCACCTAGGGGGCGCTCCATGAGTGCGAGAGAGACAGAGCGACGAAGACGACTCTCGGAACCAGTCTGCAGCCATTCAATCGGAGCCGGGAAGTCCACGGCCGTGGTGATTTGGCGAGGGGAAGCCCCTGCAAGCCGAGGTGGCCGGTACGAGGAGGCAGAGGGCGACACGCCGGAGAGTCAATGGTCAATGACTGGCTGATGAATGGCTGCTGAGGTTACTGTAGGCTGGCTGCTGCACAGTGCGGGCTAGAAGACCGGTGCAGGCGGCCAAAACTCTAAACGCGTTTTGAGCTACTACAGAGTCGCTAAACAGGCCTCGAACCAAACGTGTGACCCCACCGATGGATTCCTCGTTCGGAGAGCAATCCATTGGTGGGGTCACACGTTCTGTTCTATTCCCATTTAACGACTCTGGAGCTCAAAACGCGTCAGGGATTAGGACGGCCTCCACCAGTCTTCTGGGCCACTGTGTGCTGCAGGAGAGAGGCCTGGAGAAAGGATCAATTCTTACTCTAAGGAGAGACGAGAGGCCAGCCGACCGGCGGGTTGGCGTCGATACCCCAGGCAGCGGGAGGGCCGGCCGTGCGCGCGGGGTAGTGCCACGTTGAGCCCCCGCGTCTGACATTGGGCCAGAAGACCGGCGCCGGCGGCCAAAACTAGACGCGTTTTGAGCTCCAGAGTCGCTAAATGGGTCTCAAACCCAAACCGAACGTGTGACCCCACCAATGGATTGCTCTCCGAACGAGGATTCCATCGTTGGGGTCACACGTTCGCATCGAGTCTTGTTTAGCGACTCCACTGGTAGCCAACAAATGTGACATCACATTCGTTTGAACGTGAAAACGGCGATGTCAAATTGAACGTGACAAACAGAGAAAAATCATACTCCAACGAATGTGACACACCGCACCGCTCTGTCACATTACTTCTGGTGTGACACGAAATCAGCAGGAAAACTGTCACATTAAAACGAATGTGACACATGTTACACATTGACATACATCGTGCCACATCCAAACGAATGTGACACCCATATGCTGTCACGTTCGTTTGAATGTGACATGCCCGAATTGTCACATTCAATTGACGTGACACGCCATATCCTGAGACTTATGGCGTGTCCGGGGCGTGTCACGTTCGTTTGAATGTGACATTTAGGGCATGTCACATTCAAACGAACGTGACAGCATATGGGTGTCACATTCGTTTGGATGTGACACGATGTATGTCAATGGGTACCATGTGTCACATTCGTTTTAATGTGACAGTTTTCCTGCTGATTTCTTGTCACACCCGAAGTAATGTGACAGCGGTGCGGCGTGTCACATTCGTTTGAGTATGAATTTTCTCTGTTTGTCACGTTCAATCTGACATCATAGTTTTCACGTTCAAACGAATGTGATGTCACATTCGTTGGCTACCAGTGTCTGGAGCTCAAAACGCGTCTAGAGTTTCGGCTCGGCAGCTGGCGCTGGTCATCTGGCCCACCGCACGGTGCGCCTGTGCGGCGGGCGGACGGCGGCCGAGCTAGGGTCCCTAAGCTAGCCACGTGGTGTGCCCGGGCCGTGTGGGCCCACACTGTGGGCCGATCGGGTTGACTTGGAATCCGGGCGCCAGGATCACTGAGAATGAAAAAGTCATGATCAATACCCAATTTTGGGCGAGGTTTACTTTCTCACCCAAATTTGGGCGAGGAAAGTCCTCACCCAATTTGGGCGAGGAAAGCTTCCTCGCCCAATTTTGGGTGAGGAAGGGTGTATCAGCTCCCTATATAGCTCTAAAGTATTATGACCCAAATTTGGGTGAGGAAACTTTCCTCACCCAAATCTGGGCGAGGAAAATTTCCTCACCCAAATTTGGGTAATAAAGAATTCCTCACCCAAAATTTTAGTCAGGATCATGACTCTTTCATTCTCAGTGTATTCTGGACAACTGGAGCACTGGAGCGGCTTGGCAGAGGGGCCAGTGGGGGCGGACTTGACTCTGGAGCTGGACTTCTAGACTCCGTGACACCAGGGCTCCAGCCACTGGGGGCGGTGCGCTTAGGCAATGGGATCTGGCCGGTCGCACGGAGTGTCTCATTTATCTCTCGACTGCCTCCGCCCGGCAACGAGCCGGCTGCAGAGAGCAGACTGATTCCGAGAGTTGTTTTCTTCGCTCTGCCTCTCTCGCCAGAGACAGAGAGAGAGGGGACGCGACGAAAACGACTCTCGGAATCAGTCGTCTGCGAGCCTGCCGCCGACCGCCGCGGCGTGGGTTCGAATCCACTTAGTTTCTGACAACTACGCGGCGTTCTGCACCCCTGGCCTGTCGCTGGGAACTGCAAGGTGTCGCTTTTTATCGGGGAAGCTGGGCCGCCGCGCCCCGCCCGCGCCCCGCCCCGCCCCGCCCTGCCTCGCCCGCCCCGCCTCGCCCCGCCCCGCCCCGCCCCGCCTCCTCGCCCCGCCTCGCCCCGCCCCGCTGCTCCGCCTGGCGCGTCGCTCGCGACGCCTCGCCCCGCCTCGCCCCGCCCCGCCTCGCCCCGCGCCGCCTCGCCCCGCCCCGCCTCGCCCCGCCTCGCCCCGCCTCGCCCCGCCCTGCTCCGCCTTTGGCGCGGTGCAGTGCTGCGAGCCGTGCGTTTTGCGTTTTGCACAGCCGCCCTAACTCGGAGCCGGATGTACCGAGAAGTGTGAGCTGTGGGTGTGGGTGGGGTTGGTCGAGGGCGAAACTGAGTGTCTAATAAAAAGTCATTCCATACTACCTGTGTGATCTCCCCTTCCGCTTCCTCCAGCAGCGTAGTTCTGGAGGGGGGTAAAATGACTTGAAACTAACGTACCTGTGTATTTTTTCTGTTGACAGATCACCTTCACGCCTCTTCGGATTTTAGAAGACACACAATCGTCAAGCCTAGGTTTTATCATGGCAGAGAAAAGAGAGAAATATCGACAACGAGACCAGAGGTGAGACTCGTGTACTTTTGTGGCGTTTACAGATGCCGAAATTTCTCATTAAACCATTCTGTTTTTCCAGACTGGGAAGGAGCATTTACACGACCTCATGATAGAAATTAATATTGCTGGGAAGCACCAAATTTTAGAGCTCCGGCTAAACAGGTCAGTTGGCAATTTTTCCTGTTATGTGGCTTTCTGGGTATCTTCCTTCTCCGCTTTCTTGGTCTTCTTTCTTATTGTCTTTAACAATTATTTTTGTGTTTGTTATTTCAGGGAATTTTTGTCAGGTACCTATTTTCAAAGACATCAAGAAAATGGATTGCACAAAATTCATAGACCATCAAAAGAGGTACCACAGCTGTATATATTTCTTGATTTATTTACTTGTTTTGGAAAAATTTCCGTGTGTAGTGTTTGATTTAAGAAAATAAATCGGTATTTGTTTTCCTTCAGGAGGTAGAACTTTGTCAATATCAAGGAAATCTTAGAGGTGTTTCCAACTCCTGGGCAGCAGTATCAACTTGTAATGGTCTCAGGTGTGTATGTTAAGGCAACACAGGGAGAAGCTGTACATTTATTTGTTTGTTTGAGAATTTAATTTAAAATCTACTTTTTTCACAGAGGAGTGGTTTTCGATGGGCATGAGCTTCATTACTTGGAACCAAAACAGAAGCATCAAATAAAAAATTCTGAGAAAAGTGAAGATCTGGGTGAAATCTACCATTATAGACATTCTGATATTCATGGATCTAATCACTCTTGTGGTATGTCATTAGTTTCCTGCTAAGTTATACTTGGGTAAAAATAGCTCAAAATGTAACTGTTTCTTCTCTGATTGCTTAGGCTATGAGGGAACGCCTCATGATGTACTGCACAACGAGCACATTGCCCATTTGCACAGGGTGAGTTACATTTGCCACAATGACAAAAAATATATCGGCATGTTTCAAATGTGTTTGTAACACAACTCTTTCTTTTTCAGTCAAAGAGAGATTCAGAGTCTCCTGATGATGATGGCAGTGCAATACGTGGCCCATACAATGCAAATAAAAAGACTCGTTATGTTGAACTTGTCTTAGTTGTCGATCATAAAGAGTACCTCGAGTTGGATTCAAGCAAGGATAAAGTGTATCAGCATTGCAAGGATATGGCTAATATTATAAATGCTGTGAGTTTCATTTAATTTATTTATTAGGCTTTTCGTATTATTCTCATAAACTTGAAAAAAATAATGTATCTTATTTGTTTCCTATTCTAGCTGTACATGCCTCTAAATATTTTTGTAGCCCTGGTGGGTGTAGTGGTGTGGTCTGAATTTGATGAAATTTCATTGGTACCAAATGGAGACACCACCCTTACTAACTTTTTACATTATAGAAGAGAGCGTCTTGTTAAAGAGCATCCTAATGACAATGCACAACTACTGACGTAAGAATTTACTGAGGTACTTCTACATTTTTCTTTCCTATGCAAGTGCAGTTTTCTAACAGCAAACCATTTTGTTTTCAGTCGTGTTCAATTCGATAATGGTGTGGTTGGGAAAGCTCTGAAGGGACCAATCTGTACTTACGAGTTTTCTGGTGGTGTCAGCATGGATCACAGTAACGTCGTTGGACTGGTGGCTACAACAGTAGCCCATGAAATGGGTCACAATTTTGGTATGGAACATGATTCAAGTGAATGTTCTTGTCCAAGTGAACGATGCATCATGGCCCCATCATCAAGGTATAATTTTTTATGGAGATTTCATCTTTTTGTAAACCTTCTTAGACTTGGCTCTACTAATTTTAGTGTTCTCTTTCAGTACTCTGAGTCCCACTCATTGGAGTAGCTGCAGTGAGAAATATCTCCTGTTGGCATTCCATCATGGCATGGACTACTGTCTGCACAACAAACCCACCAAGTAAGGGCTGAACAAATTCAATTGAAAAGAGTCAATGTGCTCTCATGGTACCTTATCATCAATTTTCTCATTCCTCTCTTTCAGATTATTTGGGAGTCCTGTTTGTGGCAATGGATTTGTAGAGCATGGAGAGCAATGTGATTGTGGGCTTGAGGACCGTTGCTCAAACCCTTGTTGCAATGCAACCACCTGTATGCTGCATGCCAATGCTTCATGTGCCACAGGAGAGTGTTGCGATCTGGAGGTAAGCACAAAGCAATTGTGTGCCAAAACTATTTTACTTTATTGTTTGTTATTATCTATTAATAAAGCATTTTCCTTAATTTAATTTTTCTTTGATTTCTTAGACCTGCCGACCCAAAACAGCAGGAACTGTTTGTCGCAGTGCAGACCAAGAGTGTGATCTGCCTGAGTTCTGCACAGGAAAGAGTGAATACTGTAAGGAAGATGTGTTCAAAATGGATGGTGAAACATGCAACCATGGAAAGGTAAATAATTGGTTTGAATTTTTATTTGTTCTGTTCACCTTAAACTGCATCAAGTTATAATAACTTTCTGCACCTTTGCTCATTTTGAAGGCGTTTTGCTATCATGGGATGTGTCGAACCCGATCTGATCAGTGCAAATTATTATGGGGACCGTCTGGCAAAAGTTCTGATACGCAGTGTTACAAAATGAATACGAAAGGTTCCAGACATGGGAACTGTGGATATAATCGGCTGAACCAGTCCTATGTCAAATGTGTTGATGAGTAAGTTTTCTAATGGTGTCTTCATCTTATTATTTGGAATTTATTTTTTAAATGTAATATTATTTTTCTTCTTTTTTTCACAGCAATATTTATTGTGGTATGCTTCATTGTAAACATCTCAATGAGCGTCTGGAGTTTGGAATGGAATCTGTGTCTATTCTCTCACACTCTTTCATCAACTCAGGCGGAAGTATCATACCATGTCGAACAGCAATTGTTGACCTTGGTCTGAATGAAGTTGATCCTGGGCTTGCCCCAGATGGCTCAAAATGTGGGGAAGGGAAGGTAGGTTTTTATTTTCTTATAGTTTTTCTTAACTTTTTTTTTAACATTTGGCTTCTAATTATTATGTCTTTTTTGATTATCAGATGTGTGTAAATCAAAAATGTATGGCTGTTAGTTCATTGCGAACAGGAAGTGTTGTAGGTGTCTGTCCCCAAAATTGTAATGGGAATGGTGTGTGTAACAGTAAAGGCAATTGTCATTGCAATCCTGGTTTTGCTCCACCTTTTTGTGACTACCCTGGAACTGGTGGTAGTAAGGATAGTGGGCCAGCCACAGACCCTAATGGTAATGAGCTTTTATTCTCTTAAACCCTTTACAAATATTAAAGTTTCCACATAATTATTTACTTTTAAATGTGTTTTTTAACTTGTGTTTATTTTTTTTTCAGCTGGACGAAAGTTTGTTTTTGGACTTTACATCTTTTTCCTAGGCATTGTCCCCTCAGTGGCGATTGTGGCTCTTGCGATGTATTATATTCGTCCTTTAGTGAAACATTGGTGGAAAAAGCCGGGCACCATAGCTGCCAATGGACCCAGACACTCGACGTATGTAGCTAACTCTTCTGCTGCATGCTGCATGTCCATCCGGGGGTGGACTAGTCGACTGGACTGCTCTCAGTCTTGCAGGCATGTTACTAACTCGCACATGTTTTCTTTTTGCACTTGTTGCTTTTACTCACCAAGGGAATCCAGTTCAATTCCGGGCTCTCGCTCATGTTTGCGAAAAAAGGGTGATTTCAGCAAGCATGTTCAAAACTTCAGGGACAAAAGCTTTCCTACATTAGGAAATCAGAGTGTTTCAGATGCACAGTCTGTTGCTGTAGATGAAATTGTTACTGCTCCTATCCCATCAATTTCGAGCTCAGTAAATATTAGATCAGTACCATTCCAAAAGCCTTTCATAACAATGAAGAGTTGGCATATGCCAACCTATACATGGAGGAAAAGAAAACTCAAACGGGGAAGCAGATGTGCACTCAATGTACAAAACAAAGTCAGCAAAGAAATTGTGAAGTCGGAGCTTGTGTTCACAACAAACCAAGAAGTAATGAAAATTATGGGGAAAAGTTCCTCGTCAAGGGACAACTCTAGTGGTTTGTTGAATGTGCCCATTAATAATGGCATTCAAACATCTACGCCATCAATTGCAACTGCCAGTATACATGCAGATAATGCTTTACCTGTTGTTGATCTATCACTAGAAATTAATGCTCATTGTTCTATCACCCAGTCACACTCCAATGCAGAGTATTCTGGTGAGCTAGAAAGTGGTTTGCACCCAAAATTAGAATCAGGGCCCAAACCACCAGAGGCTCATTCAAAGCAATTCCTGACAGAAGAGGTGACAAGTGTTTCTAGTTTGGATTCTGCTCCAGTTGTAGTCCACGTTCATTCTGCTCCTAAAAGTAAGGTTCCAAAAATAAAATCTTATGGCATAGCATCTTCCAAGCTTATAACAGAAGTCGTTGAAGTTGTCCCTAAAAAGGAGAAAGCTACTTCACTAAAAGACAGCTCCCTCAGATATTCTTTTCGCAAAAAGCAGCATTTGGAAAAGAACAGGTTAAAAACTAAGAAGTTTAAACCAAAAACTGTTATTACCACTGACATCTACATTTAGAAAATTATGCATGACCCTCTGCATGGTTTTGTGATAAACATTTGTGATATGAATAATGGCTGTGTTTTTAGTGATACAAGTTGATATCGATAAAAGTGTAGAGAGAGACTGCTGCCATGGGACATAAATGAACGTGCTTGTTGAAATTTGCTTCAGGGCCTCTTGTAAATTTGCAAATTTATTTGTGATTGTTTTTCTTTTGTTTATGTTCTTGTTTTTGTTACTGTTGCCAATATTGGCCTTTCGAAATGCACACACATTTAACTAATAACATTTTTATTTGCTTAAACATTGCTAATTTTTGTTTTGACCTGTCCATATTTATTTCTATTATTTTAAAATGTTGTTCATAGTTCTGTCATAAAAGCCTGCAGGTTTCTGTCATATTTGAATTAAGTACGTTTTACTTTCAGTCTTGTACATCCACTTATCTTAGGAGCCAACCAATTTGATGTAAGGGCCCGACAGAGCCAGAAGATGTTAGTACCTGTGCAATGTATCCGCAACTTGGCACATGTTACTGAACATAATTACTGGCTAATGCCTTATCAATATTAAACTTCACACTGTCATGTTATTCCTAAATTTTAAATATAATGAAGATGTATCTTTGTTTCTTGGTGAAGGCATTTCTTTAATTAAGTTTGTCATTTGAAATATTTATTGTAAGCATTGTTGTTGTTAAGGGCAAATAATTGTTGAGCATGCTGCATGTCTTTTTTCTTTCTTTTAACTCTGGTTATTTTTAATTTGTCTGTAGTTATTTGATTTGTAGCTGTTAAATAAAATCTCTTGCATTTTGGTCTGTACACAAGCCTTTTATTTGTTTTCTTGTTGTTTTTGTTATTTGTTTTGGTTTTATTTTGGTTTGGTTTGTCAAGTTTTTTTGTGCATGCTTTGGGACTAAGTTTTAATGAATGGTTTTGTGAATTGGGTTGCACTTGGTGATGGAATTACTATAATACTAACATACAGGTAGGGAACGCATTTTCCCCTCCCTCAACTTTTGAATTGCCTGGGATATGCACCCTGGGGATGCTTCAACCAGACTAATTGTTTTTGTTTGTTTTAGGAAACCTGGTGGACAGAATAGAACCGGCCGTGGTAATTCATTAGCATTCCACAGTTTAGAGAGAAGTGGTGGACCTAAACTAAATGGATCCAGCGGTCACCGAGATATATCCAGTCCTTTGCGCTCAGATGGCACTCATGCGTCATTGCTGCCCCCTGATGAAACTCCGGTCAACTCACCATCTACTAGCAATGGCAGCAGCCCAGTCTCCAATCTCCAGATAAGCTTAATTGGCCAGTTCAAGGGCTTCAGCATCACTCCCATGACTTCAACATCACCCACTCGCTACGTTGAAGATCCAGTCCAGGGCTCAACAGCTTTACCCACTGCCAACAAACCAGCCTTACCATCACCTGCCCAGTCCGCTTTGAGAAAAGCACCAGTTCCACCGTCTGTTCCTTCAGCTTCTACAGCTGCTCCTGCCAAGTCTATGCCATTTAAAATACAAGGTGTGAACAAAGCTCGAACAAACTCGAGTGTTGTGAACGGAGTGTCGTCCGTAAATAATTCATCCGTTGCACCTGCTCTTCCACCTGCCAACCCTCAAAGTGTGGGGCGTCCACTTATCAGCAGTCCGATCCTTGATGCCACTACGTCATCTGCTGCCAGAGAATTGGTTGATGGTTCCAACCCTAATGTACCGGTTCCTCCTGCACCACCAGCTCCTGTTCGGACAGCTCCTGTTCGGACAGCTCCTGTTCGAACAGCCCCTGCGGTCCCTATTTCTGAAAACAAACTCTCTCGACCAGCATCGTCACATGTTGATGTCGTCGATGCTCCAGCAGCTGTTGGTACTGAGAGAGCTGGAGGGGTGAAGCAGCCAACCTACCCTACTTTAACAAAGCTTGCATCAATGCTTCGCCCATCAGCATCCTTCCGGAATCAGGAGAAAAAGGAAGAACCTCAAAATGTAAAAGCAGGAAAGTTGCTTGATAAAGAAAAGCTACGATCTCTTCAAATTTCAAGTCCAATCCCACAAACTGAAATAGAAGTTCCACATGCAGTACCTGTGCAACCAAACCAACCTGTTGTTATGCGGGCTCAGAGTATGCGAGCTGGTGCAAACTCCAAACGACCTGCAATCCAGACCTTTGGATCTATGAGGCAGCCAGGAAAGCGTCCAACAAGTGTTGCATCAAATGGCCTTCACAGACCCACCTCTCCACCACCACCTCGACCACCACCACTACCAGTTATTTCTTCCAAAGAAACGGGCATATCAGGGCTACCTGGTTATCAAAATCCTCCAGACGCTAAAGCAAATAAGCTACCTTCTGATTACTCATACGATGATTGCCTGAATGTTATGGGTGATGCCCCTCTAGCTCATATTGATGAAGAAAACAGTCCAACAAGTGGAGATAACATTTATGCAGTAATTGAGGAATCACCAGAAAATGGAAGTCGCAATCGTGTCAATTTTGACCTTCCTTCCAGTTCCTCAGCTGTTGATGTTCCAGAGTACATTTCTCCCACTGCTAGTGTGTACAAAGACCCAGCATCTCCCAGAATCCATCCTGCTGGTAGCAGCGAGTCTATGGGCCTTTTGGGGGAAATTGTATCAGCAATTCAAGCCAGGAACACAGAATCAATTTATTCATCATCAAACATCCCTCCTAAAGATTCCACCACAGTTACAGGTGGGGAACCGCCCTCTGGTCAAGACAGTGAGAGCCCTTTGAGTGATAACAACTCCTCAACTGGAACTTACTTTACTTCAGCATCAAGCAGTAGTGGTTATTTAAGCCCAAATGTTTCAAATTCTGGACTGCAGACAGTTGGAAGTGTTGTGAGCGCACTCCAGAGTCCATCAACGGCAGCGCCTGCAGCAATCACTACTACAACTGTATCTACAACATCATCCGCTCCGTCTGAATCATACAAACCATATGGCCTGTCAGTGAGGTCGAGAGGTCCACTTGCCAACACATTTTCCAAGTCAAATCCATCTTCTATTTCTACCACCACCACTGCCCCAACTCCACCACCTGCATCTCAAAAGCCACAGCTTCTTTCTAAAAAGCCTGCGGTCAAGGAGAAACCTGCTTTAGCAAGCACGAGCCCTGATGTAGTCTCAAGCTGCTCTTCTTCTGCAGACACAGCCTCTCCAGATGTTATTAGTCCAGCTAGTACCAAATCAGTACCTATCCCTTCAATATCTCATCCCAATTCGTCAGTGGAACAGACTCCTACACAGAAAATAACTGTGTCCCAATCAAATTCATCTGCCATGAGCAATCCAACTAATACGTCTTTAAGCAGTCGGAGTAATAATGTTCGGCCTCCTGTAAGTGCCTCTAAACCAACCTTAGACTCATTTGGCCCAAACAGAACTTTAAACTTACAAACTAAAGCTGCTGCTAGTAAAATATCTAATGTTGCGTCCTTACAACAGAAGTTTGAAGCAAGTCCACCCTCGAAGTTACAGCCAGGGGTCAAACCTAAAATCCAGCCTGTAAAGCCTTCTCTGTCCTCGAGTAAATGAAAAAAAAAAAATATCCTGACTGCATTGTACTATTGTGGCCTTTAGTTACCTCTTTTTGACAATTTAGTGTTATGTATTTCCATGTGATAATGACTTTTGCTCACTGCGTGGACAGTTGTGTCATTTTGAAAAGTTTGAGCCATGTCCCTCTTTGGTGTGCGAGAGCGCATCTTATTCTTTATATTTTGTACATGTATTAATGTGATTTCATGATGTACATAGTATGAATTTATGTATGTAAATTGACTTCATAACAAATGTTTTTTTCTATAGGTATCATTCCCAAAGACCAGAAAAAAAGAATAATAATAATTGGAAAGATAATTGGCTGTGTCTTTGTTCACTGCCACATCTTGTGTAGGGTACACAGTGTATTGATAGTCACTTGCAGTACCAACTTTCAATTTGGTATTAATTGTCCAGCTTGCTGTTCCCATGACGTTATGTTAACATACGATACAACTGCAGCCTGCAGAGTCACAATACTCAGGCTGTTCTTCTGTTTACAAATCTACACTTTTTGTATGACAATGAGTAAATTGCCTAGTTTAGTTTTCCCATTAGTTAGGCTGTAAATTAGCTGTTTTTCTTATATAAGTATGCAGTGCTTTAATCTGTAATATATGTAGGTAGTTGGGAGGTTGAGAATTAAGAAAGTGCTCAAAATGTGATTTATTTCTCTCTTAAATGAAATGTATGTGAGAAATATTTGTTTCAATCCATGGTTGAAGCCTACTGCAACATTTTGGTTCATTTCCTTACATTCCCTCAGCAGTAAGATTCTGATATTAAAGATTTTGTGTCGTTACAATCTTGCCTTCAAAAACTCTGCTTCTGATTGAATTTTTCCTCTTTACTTTTACCTCTCTTTTTAAACCTAAAACTTATGTACTGACGTTTTTAATAGACTGATCTGTTCCTTCAGTTCCCTGAAGCTTCTTTGTGATTCGTACTGTTATCTATCTGTATCTTGTGTTACCTCTTTTGACACCTCTAAGAGAGTGTTTCATGTATGTGGTACGTGGCCCTTCTTTCTCATTCGTGGGATTTTCATGTCAGAGTTCGCTTGGGTATATTTTCAGCCATCATTCAGTTGTTTTGCATCTGGCTGATTATTTTTACATTTGTAAAGAACTTCTACATTAGTAGCATAATTAAGTTATTCATTTTCTCGGGCCATTGAATAATTCCTTATGCTGTAAATACATTTTTTTAAAGAAAATTTGGCTTTGTGAAATGAATTGTTATCTTTTTTCTGGACAGATTCATATTATTTATTTATTTATGGTGCGTTTGATTATGCTCATGTTTTCTTTTTATCTTAAGAAAAAGGGTGCTCGTTATTTTATAAACAATACAAAATTTATTGATTTGTTCCCTGCAAATTCCTCAGTGACGGCTTTTAACTTCTCTTTTTGATTACTATAATTATTACTAGAATAAGGAATCTTGTGATAGGCATTGTAGCCACTAAATTATCATACTATTTATAATTTTTGTAAGTCTTGATTAAATGTTGTGAGTCCGTTTTGATTTCAAACATCTCCAATGAAATGGCATCTATTGTGCTCCTTGATTGTGTTGTGATCTCATTGTAGGAAAGAAGTCACTTTCCTTTCATTGCAAATCATTTTCTGATTTCCCTGTAAAAGATCGACTCAAAAAACAATTGTAAATTACTCTGACACTTGATACTGTGAGATGCTCCCCACAGCTTCATTACGAAACAGAGTTCACTTCAGTATTGATTCATTTTACGGCAGAGTTGTTGCCCGGCTGATTTCCTTTGTCATTTTGTTTGTTGTGGTTAACTTATCTACAAAAGGTTGCAACTAAGACTTTCTATTTAAAGAAGCCAAAGACCTCTTTTTATAAGTGAAATAAATGTAGCACACGTCCGTGTGTTAATGACCTAATTTTCTTAAAATCATTTTCCTTCCTTGTCCCTCATTGCCTGATGACGAAACAGCTGACAAAAACCACATTGGGTTGGGTGGGGTGGGTCGCACCTTGAGAGAAGGGCGCCGTTCTCCCTGGGGGGCTTTGGTGCATCGCGGGAATTTTGCCGAATTTCCGGATCTCGAGTTTCTTTTTTTTTTTTTAAAGCCAGGATGTCTCTAATTTCATATCACTGCGCAATGGGCCAGGAGACCAGTGGAGGCGGCCAAACTCTTAACGCGTTTTTACCTGCAGAGTCGCTACAGAGTGGGATCACACGTTCGGTTGAGTCCCATTTAGCGGACTCGGGAGCCCAAAATGCGTCGATTTTTGCCGCCCCCGGTCTTCTGGCCCACTGCAGCGCGCTGTAAGTGTCGAAGGGGTGGTCTACCTTCACGGCGCTGCGCTCTGAATGGATCACGTGTTGTGAAGGTAGGCCTGAGAGTGGTGCCGTTGTGTAGGTCAAATCTACTCTGGCCTGGGCTCTAATGCCCGGTGATTGACTTGGGCGTGAACAGGCGATCAGACAAACACGCAGAGTGAAGTTTCACAGGTCCTTTTATTGAAGTCTGGGATCAGGCCTAGGGCCAAGAGGTGCACAGAAACTTGGTTGGTACCTTAGAGCTACTCAGCTGAGGTACAATATGCCTACCTTGGCTCGGCTCGGAGACAGAGTTTTCGGCTCACACACTGAACAGGTCACACAAGCACTGGAGCTGCTTAGGCTAGCTGAGACACGCTGGGCAGGCAAAGCTGCGGCTTACTGAACGCCGACTCCAGGCTCCTCCGGCTTAAATAGATTTGGGCGTCCGGGCCCTCTGGACCAATCACGGGCGCCCCACACACGCTCCCACGGTCAAGCTTGTCTCCCATTGGCCGAACGCCACGGTGACACCCCTTCCCTCAAACCCGAGTTCCATGTGCATCTTTATTGCTAGGCCTATGAGGCCTTTACACGGCAGAGCACGTCGATGTCGTGCGACAGATAGTGGAGCTCTTTTACGACCCGGATTCCCGCCGAGCGCCGGGCGCGACTCGGGGTCCCCTCCGGGGCCCCGGCCCTTCCGGCCCGCCCCGACCCTGGCCACGGGCCGCCTGCCCGACGGGCTAAGAGCCTGAGGGGAAGGCAGATTGCGCTGCCGCGCCCACCTGTGGATCGTGTAGCGCGGCCGGATCCCAAGCGAGTCCGGTCGCCTCGTAAAGAGCGAGAGGGGAAGGCGGAGCCGTGTGTGGAGCCCCGCCGACCAGCGCAGGTACACACATGTCTAGCCGGCTAGTCCGGACGCGTCAACAGATACACTGACAAAGGACTGATCGGAACGTCCTCAAAAGATAGTGCGAGACAATATGATAATAAAAAGAGAGAGACGGTTGCCACAAGGCAATCGGGTCTCAACGGTGCTTCAATTTTGTCCATCAGTGTCTTTACTGAGTGACCCAACCATTACGCGAGTGCATGCCCCATCGGTGGGTGGTCGAAATCGACGGAGTATTGCAGTCGCGTATTGGTTGGGTCACTCTGTACAGCGCTTCCTCATAACTCTATTCAACCAAAACACTCAGGAATTAGAAAGATTAATGCCAAGGGAACAAAAAGCAAACACGTTTCGGGTTAAATTACAAGGTAGGTTTACGCCAGACTGCGTCTTGTCGTAACAGGCTTCGCGATGTCTCGCGGCCTGTTCCACCAATCCGTGCCTGGCGTACCTACCTTGGCCTGCGGCGCTAGCCTGCCTTCGGCAGGCATTAGCTTGTCCGTCGGCGGTTGCTTCTTACTTGTTGCACTAGTTGCCTACCCTCTCATTTCAGTAACGTGACATTACGTTGAAACGAATGACAAAATTTCACGTTTTTTCGAGCATTGTGTCACATTTCTTTGGACAATAATCATTTATGAATAACCTATTCACATTGAAACGAGTTTGACGCAGTGCTGAAAGGAACGTGACATTCTTTTCAACGTGATGACACGTTCCTGGAATGGGAGTGTCCACGCCGGAAGCAGTTCCAGGGTTTCCTGGCGATTCTGGAAAAAGAGACCACGTTTTTCGAGGGTACACCAAAGATTTCCAGGCACTGCTTTTGCCGTGTACTTACTGGGTCAAAGTAGCGCTTGGAGCCCACCTTCCTATTTGGAAAATTGACAAACAGGCTTACTCTCAAAACCTTACAAACTTTTTTGGACTTTTCAAACAAAAGTAGCTTGTTATAACAAAGTATTCAAAGTGTACAAAGGTTGAAAAAAATACTTCAAACATTTTATGAACCAAATCTTTTTATAACAATCGACTCGTGTAAATTTTGTCAAAATGTCCGAATTGTCTGAAATCCTGATCATATTTCGCGCCCTTCTGATAGCTAAAATTCTGGGAACTTATTATGATATTGATGCTTTGAAATCAGGTCAGAATAAGTTTTCAGCTTTCAGAGATGAACAAATTTTGATCAGGTTTTCAGACAGGTTTCTGACATTCTGACAAGATCTACACGAGTGTCTGAATAGTTTGTACCTTAAATCTGCTCAAACACTTCGTAAGGTTTCAAGCGCACTCTCATTCCAGGAGCGTAATATTAACGTTGAAACAGCATGTCAAAGTCACGCTCGAATCTAATGTATGGCAGATTCACATCCAGACGAGCGTGACACAATGCTCAAGGGGGGCGTCACATTTCAACGTGACATCACGCTCCTGGAATGAGAGCGAGGGGTCGACAACTACCTCGAGCCGTGTACGAGGTAGTATATATTACCGGTAATATAAGTAATATAGGGTAATATAAGGTAATATACGGAAATAAAACAACGGTAATATATGATAAAAGAAGATGAGAACGTGACACAGTATCCTTGACTAAGGCTAAAATCAGGAGTTCTGGCTAGAATTTTGGTATTATGCAGACCTTACCCTCGTTTCATGACAGCGCCCCCTGTCAGGATAAAAGGTACGCAACCCGATGCAACCTATCTGACAAAAGTATGGCGCGTAGCTTCATGTCAGATTGAACACGGACATCAAATCCGAATTTCTTCCTGTCGCAAGGAGAAGCCTAATAGCTTTAACACCTTGATACCAAGGTTCAGTACGGCAAGTTTAACGTTAGTTTAGGTTAGAAACAAGCAAATCACAGAAATATGTGGTAATATAGTGGTAATATAGAGGTAATATACGGTAATATAGGGTAATATACGGTAATATAAGGTAATATAGAGGTAATATAAGCTCTGCGCACGAGGTAATATGGGAGTTGTCGACCCCTCGAATGAGAGCACGTGGATGGCTGCCCCCGCCGCCCAGCCGTTAATCGCAATCGCAATCGCCCGCAGCATAGGCCTGCCTGTTGAACACGTGCGTGTTGCGGTACAGCCTACCTGGGCGAGCTCAGGCGCTCCGCCCGCACTAAACACTGAATGGTTATGGTCGGCACGTACAAATTTGTACATAAATTGGGTAGAACTATTTTTAAATATTTCAACACAATACGGAAATTTGTCTCTTATTTAAATATTATTTTGTACTTTGCGTACGTGCACTAATATGGCAAGTGGTATGGACAATGTAAGTACATAAATACTAAGTATCCCAAAGAACACAATCATGTTAAATGCACCCTCAGACTCACACCGTATTGACAATGGTGCACATTGATGAGCATATTAACATTTTAATCTGTTTTAGAAACATTGTCGATTTCGTCTTGAACCATTAGCTTCTTAACGAAATTCTATAAATGTGCACGAAAGTCAATGATAAAATGTCAATTGAAGGATGGGATTGTGTTTTCCTTGTTTGCAGTCACAGCCAGAGCTCCCCTTCACCCCCACTCCAGAAAGGCGTACGCCGCTACTCGGCGGAGAACCATTGCTCATCACAAGAGACGCGGAGAGCTACTTCCTCAAGCCGGCAAGGCCGGCCATCCCACATTTGATTAGCAACACCAACGCGGAGTGGCGGACCTACAACTACACCAACAGTAAGCGGCGCGAGCAAGCTCATTTGCTGCACACTAAGACGCTAAAGGCATTTAGGCATCACACGGCAAGAAAACGTTTGCCGAAACTTTTGAGATGCTGACTTTCACCTCCGGAATGGTTCGGTGTTCGAACAGACAATTGGATATTATTCCAACGCACAGGGCCAATACAGGTCCCGTTTTGTCAGGTTATTTTTGGGAATACTAAGATAACTTTTAGAGTTTATTGACAATATCTCTGGTGTTTATGGATTGACATCCGCAATATTTTGCTAACAGAGTACCTCCTTAGGGTTCTTTGATGCCATTATGGTCAAAAAGTAAGAAAGTGTATATTGGGAATTCGAGAAACAGCGTTTTCAAGGTGAAAAACTTTCATTCTGGAAGGCCAGGGCTAGGGGTCCCAAGCTTGTTTTATGTTGCCCTTTACGGTTTCCAACACATTTGATGCGCCTTAGCCTAAATACACATAAAAATATTAAATTTAAAAGCAACCTTAATTCTTGGGCGGTAGACTACTCTGCCAATCCAAGTGTAAGACAGTCTCACACTTGTAGGTGTGGGGCAGTTTCTCACGCTTACAGGTGTGAGACAACGAAGTCTCACACTTGCAAGCGTGAGACACGGTTTGTACCACACTTGCTGCCTATGCTAGCTCTGTGGTTTAATGCCACGGGTCCCACACCTGCAAGTGAAGGACAAACCGTGTCTCACACTTGCAGGTGTGAGACATCGATGTCTCACACTTACAAGCGTGAGACAGAATGTCTCACACCTACAAGTGTGAGACTGTCTTACACTTGGATTGGCAGTGTACACTCTACAAAAAATGTCCGGTCAACGCCGTTAATTTATTACCAATGTTTGCTGTTATGCAATTCACGGCGTTTGCTGTGAACTAGTTCACGGCGTTCACTGTGATCTCGGTTACAGTGTTCACTGTGATCTGGCCACAGTAAACGCCGTGAATTGGAGGCTGATTTGCCGCACTTCGGTGGTCAGCGGCGTCAAACTCACAGTGTTTACTGTGAACCAGATCACAGTGAACACCGTGAACAAGATCACAGTGAATCGCGTGAGCAGATCACAGTAAACGCTGTGAATTGGCCTACGGTGAAAACTGGTAATAAATTAACGGCATTGACAGGACATTTTTGGTAGAGTGTAAGATAGAAAAAATTGGGGGCTGAATGTGGGCAAGTACTTTTTGAACCACGATGGTTTGACGTGGAATGGCACTCAATCATAATATTCGTAAGTCAAGAAGAATTTTTTTTTGCTGTGGAAACAGATAGGGCACTTACTAAACAACAACTTAGTTCATTGTTTCGTTTATAAAGCGGGTGCTTTGAACTGTTTTAACACATATTCTCTTCTCCAGACCCACGGTCAGATCCTGAAATCGACAAGGAATTGCTGGAGGACCCCGCCACGTTCCGAAGAACGTTCTTCCTTTCCAAGACACGCGGAATATTCTGGGTCTGCCGGAGTTACATGTCGACTACAACACTATTCTTGAGGAAGTGAAGCAAGGCATACGTGCCGCCGTGACCCCCACCTGCGATCTCGGATGCACCCTGAAGATGGTGAGCGCACACGGCACGCGATTGGACTGGAATCGGCCTCACGGGACGACACGCTAAGAATGGGGAGGGAGCTGTGTTCAAGCCTCGAAAAAATTGTACACCGCTTTTTCAAATTTGCGTTATTTCATTGTTATTTCAGGATTATTTCAAGGGTATTTCAACGTTATTTCACATTATTTCAAGGAAAATGTACATCAAAATTTAAGTTGTGCCAGGCGTGCGAAGCACCATCGTCTTTTGACGTGAGCTCCGCCTGAATTAGTGGAAGCGGACCACCAATCTAATCCAAAAGACGTACCCACCCCTTTCCCCTTTTTCTCCCTGTCTTCCTCCCTCTACGGCGTAAGAATAGCCTCGTTGCAATGCTCAAAAACTTTGTGTGTGTGTGTGTGGGGGGGGGGGGGGTTGCGAGTCAGTGGCGAATCTGGAGGATACCTTTGAGAGGGGTAAAGTAGCATTTTTTGCCTACTTACAGGGGGAAAGCATGGGAGTTTAAGACCCCTGTTTCAAGCGGTATTTAGTTGCCTTGGGAGGGGCAAAAGGGCAAAAGGCCTGTCTATGTGGATCCGCGCTTGGCGCGTGTTTCTTCTGCGGCCATGTGTTTCGAACAGACGACCAACCGATTCTGATTCGACACTGATTGAGACAGCCTTTGCACTGTTTGCACTGCTTGCAGTACTTCGACGTAGTGTTCCGCATCGGGCGGGTCGTACGATTTTGCACCGCCCGATGGCGCTGACAGTCGACGGCCCGATCCGGCCCGCCCGATGAGCAAGCGGCTCGGACGGCATCGGGCGGCCGTCAACCCGATCGTCTTGGCTACTTTCGCCGACTAGAGGGCAGCACCTGTCGGGACGGTTTGTGTCACATGCAGGGCGAGGGGCGAGGAGGGGCTGCTTCCGAGCCAGCCGATGTCCAAGCCGTGTCTTCGGCGGCACTTCGGAGCCACTTCGGTTTTTGAGTTTCGATGACACGTCGCGGTGCAGCGCTGCGGTCGAATTTTCACAGAACCCGACCGACCCGCCCAATGCGGAACACTACTTCGACGGCGTCTGGCAAATTTCGGATTCGCATCGTCTGGCGATGCTCTGGGCCAAGGAAAACATGGCGGACACTTTCCTTTTCAAATTTAGTGTGAGGACGGAAGTGAACCAGCCGCCCAGCCCCAATGACGCCGAGGACGGTAAGACCGGATCTACGTCACCGCTCTTGTACCTATACACCTACAGACCTACACTACAAAATCAAATATCTGCTTAGTACACAGCTGTGAGAGTATACTTGAAGCACGCATCTATAGGCGTGTGCTTGTCAAGCATACATCGATAGAAGAGTACTTGGGCAAGCATGCATCTAAAGCTGTGTACTTGGACAAGTATGCATCTATAGCTGTACTGGGATGGGTGGGATGAATGTATGCTTCTCTAAGTACACAGCTGTATAGCTGCATGCTTGCGCAAGTACACATCTATAAATGTATGCTTGACAAGCATGCTCCTATAGCTGCCCCAGCTATGTAGTAAGCACGGGAGCAGGACAGCTCGTCCCGCGTCCTATTCGTCCCGAACCTATCTCGTCCCGGGGCATTTTTTGCCGTGTAGCACCCAAAACATGATTTTTTAGATAAGAATTTTTTTAAAAATACTTTTATGTTCTGTAAGAAAAACGTTCAGGACCAAAACTTTTTTGCTTCTAGCGTGATGAGAAACTTTCTTCGATCAAAGATTATACACTGCAAATCCAAGTGTGACACCGTCTCACAGTACTCGGCGTGAACTGAAACGGCTCAGTGAACCACGCAAGTTTCACACTTGGAAGCGTCAGACCCGAGGCATTGAACCACAAGGCAACCATAGACAAAAAGTGTGGGACAAACCGTGTCTCACAGCGTCCGGCACGCGCCAAAGAGTTTGAGACTGTCATACACTTGGATTTGCAGTGTGTTCTTGGAAAATAAAGAGACGGCCGAAAGTCTGATTAACTAACTTGACCTCCACAGTGGCGATTCACACGGATGACCTGGGCTACATCTTTGCGAAACTGGTGGACACAAACCCAAGCCCAGAGGCGGCACTTACCATAAAGAGAATGTCCACGATGTGGACGAACTTCGTCAAGTATGGGTGAGTGTTTGCGAGCATTAATAAAGATTGGCGGCAAAGCATCCCACCCGATGAGCTCTTCACTCAAAATTCTTACAGGCTTCTTGGTAGTACACGGTAAAAACGGTACCTGGTTTTCCCAGGAACCCTATGGTAGAGACATAGGCGATTTCCAGGGAGTTCCTGGGAAAACCAGGAACCGTTTTTACCGTGTAGTGTACGAAGAAATTTGCGCAAACATATTGCGAACTGAATTTGTTTCTATTGCGAATCTTTTTAGGCACGAAGTAGCGCTACTTATAAGGCACCTCATAGTATATAACCCAGGATTCAGCCGGCGGGAGATTCAACTCGCGTGGCTCTTTATGCATTTTAGAAATTTTCTATAAGATTTTAATGAGATTTTGCAGACTAGTACAACTTTGAACGCTGATTCTGATGTTGAAATGTGGTTAAAAAGTTAACGATCAATTTTGAGAATTTTTTTTTCATTTCTTTGTAAGGTTCAAAGAAAAAGCTTCAAGTAACGCACAGAATAAAGTCTTTAAAGCGTCGCTTCATAAAATGATGGCAACGAAGGTGTTACCCCAACTAAGAAAATGCTTCTTATTATGAATCAAAACCCTTCATAACACGAAGCACTTTTTCAGTATACGAAGCAATTTTTCAATGCCTCCAAGTTCCAAAGCGCATGCTTCGTAAATTAGGTTGAGTACGAGATAAAAATGGGTCCACAATATATGTTTGCACCAAAATTCACTGCCAATCCAAGTGTGAGACAGTCTCACACTATTTAGTGCGAACCACGATGTCTCACGCTTACAAGTGTGAGCCACATGTGAGCCACGTGTGTCCCACGCTTGCAAGTGTGAGACACGGTATGTCTCAAACTTGCATGCGACACTGCGACAGACCCGGTTTGTCTCACACTTACGAGCGTGGATCCTGTGGCATTAAACCACAGGGAACCATAGGCAGTAAGTGTGGGTCAAACTGTGTCTCACACTTGTAAGCGTGATACATCGTGGTTCGCACTAAACAGTGTGAGACTGTCTCACACTTGCATTGGCAGTGTTCTTTGTAAAGCAATGGCGCTATTTTTCTTCGCAAGACTTTTAGCGGGCTTACAGCAATGTTTGTCGGCAGCAAACCCATCATACAAACCGACGCACTCCTGCCCGTGGATTGGCCTCGTTCTGACGACGGCGTCACTTACCTCGAGCTGAAGACGAATGGATTCAACCTTCACCAAGCAGACAGCTTCAGCGGTCCGATGATCCAGTTCTGGCAAGATCTGTACCAAAAATACCGCTCCAAGGGTCCAGCACCTCGTGCAGCTTGAGTCCACGGACTGAAGTGGCCATATTTTTATTTATTTTCTCTGCTGGACGGTCATTTCTTTTCGATATTTTTAAATTTTGACAATTCCATTAAGTTACCAATTTCCGAAAATAATCCAGATGTATGCAAAAAAAACAAAAAAAACCGCATTCCAAACTGTTGTTCCGCACTTCGAGATGTCATGTGACGAAGTTGTTCGGAGTCTTGACCGCTAAACGCGCACGAATAAGGAGAACAGATGACCTGCATCAAATATATTTCATGAGGGTTCCAATGACAGGCTTAATATAAGCTTCATTAATATCGTCCGCCAGAGCGTAGTCTAAATGGTTGTAGGGCAACGCGTGGACTTCCTTTACAGCAGGACATTGCTTTGTGAATTTCCGGACATCCTAGAACAAACAACGAAAGAGATAGTTGACACTGAAATGAAACTTTAAATCACGTTAATTAAAATTTCCCGTGTCCAAACCCACTCTAATGTCTTCTAGTGTGCAGAAGTCGAAGTGTACCTATGTCCTCAAATTGAAATCAAATAAAAATTGTCTCGTATGTTCAAGAGAGTACCTTGAAGTATACGTGCTGATGACGAGAATGACTTCAATCTTTTCCTCAGACCCAGGTTTTCAACCCTATTGAGGCAAGTGCTGATCTTAATTTTCCAGTCAGGCATCACATTATTTTCTACAATTTAAAGGTTACTAAGGCTTGAAAAAAAGGTCTTATCAGGTCGAGTTCTAGGTCCCACAGAAAATCTGAAGTACGTTTCCAAATTTATTTTCACATACATCCATTGATTTTTGTACACTGAGGCTTTGAGCCGTTTGATAAAATAATTTACCTCTGAACTGACGAGGCCGTCTGAAGTTCCATAATAAACATATATAGGAGTTGTGATAGCACTTAAATTGTAGGAAGGAGGATGAGGCGAGCCGTACAGCTTTAAGTTCTTTACGGAACCAAAGTCATACTTCTGGAAGCCACCTGCACGATAGAATTACTCTACGTTAGTGGTATACAATGATTGGGATGTGGTTAAATGTGGTCGCGAGAAAACACATGTACTACCTGAGGCTATGCTCTGGCCGTAGTGGAGTACTTGTCGGATAGATCCTCCCCCGGGGAAATGGGCTAGTAGTTTCAACGCGTTCACCTAAAAGCAACATGAAAACAAAAGTAACCGTTACGTTCTAGACTGGCGCATGTCTTTAACGATGTAAGTAAACTGTGTCATGGCACAGTTGCTATTGACTAGAACGTGAATCGAATCACCCAGACAAAGCCAATCACAGCAATCTTATTCGCGTCAGGATAAATAAATGTCACTAGAATGTTTTAAAGAGTAACAGTTCCATCGGGCGTGGCCGCTTATTTTGGATCATAGTAGAAGGCGGAGAGCAAATGCATCGCTCCCCGTCGTTCAAGATCTTCCTAAGATGCCTCCTTAGTCAGCAGCGGATCTAAGAGCCTTGGACGACTGGCCTTAATAAACCTCGACGAAGTTTTCACCGTTTCAGATAGTACAAACTAGATAAGAAACGTGAACGAGACACATAATTCCAGTCTGTGTCGTTATTTTCAGTCTTCATGCCGGTTCTCTTACATCGCTTATTCTCTTCTGTGGTTTGCCCAACATTGCGGATATGCCAGCCCTGCATAAGTTGTTAAACTTTTCGTTTGCAGTTTGGAAACAATAGGCAGCCATGCACTGGTCCATAAACGGCATCTTATCATTCACCACATTTCGGCCAGTGGATTCCTGAAACATGATAACAAACTATGAGAAAGGGGAGGGGTATTTCCTAGCTCTTTATTTTTCTGGGGTCAAAGCCGAAAGGTCCTATTTAAAAGATCTTATCTGCGCTTTCCCGCATAAAGAATCGTATCTGAAACGCAAGCGAATTTCACGAAGTGTGGTCATTTGAGACGCATAAGGGAGTAAGTGGAACATATTTCTACAAGGTTCTTGGTTTCATTGATATTTCATCATCATTTTATGTGAATTATCTGTTACTGTGACTTACCTTCAGTTGCGGAAGGAGGTAAAACAAATTGCGCAAAGCCGTCGGAAGAACCGGAGGCTTCGAGAAATAAATTGGGGGGGCCAGAAACACGCTGCACAGAACTTTCTCTGCGTAGGAAGGCTTCTCAGACAAAAGAACCACCTGCACTTTTGACAAGGTGGTTTTAAGTCGATATTTTAGTCCATCATAACTTACAAGTTAACTCTTTCATTCCAGGAACGTGACATCACGTTGAAACGAATGTGACAAAATGTAACGTTCATTTGAGCATTGTGTCACATTCGTTTGAATGTGAATAAGCCTATTTATGGCTGGTTCACACGCAAACAAATGTGACACAACCCAAAAGAACGCGACAATTTGTCACATTCGTTTCAACGTGATGTTGCGTTCCTGGAAAGAGACTATGACAGTCCGTACCTGTGCTGTACTGCCCATGGAGTGGCCGATGGTTATGAGTTTGTTGCGTCCCGTAGTTTCCAATACATAATCAATGGTTGAAGCCTGATCGATGAGGCCGTTCTCATGCCAGCTGAAAGTTAAGGGATATCGCTGTTCACATTGATCATTGATCTGATTGATTCAAAGAGGCCCCGAGGGATTGCTAACACGGATAAATTACAGGGAGAGCAATGGTAGCGGCGATAGCCAGAGGCTTGGTTTCACTTAAAAGAAATAAAGGTCATTCCACAAAAAATTGAACCATTTGACCTTGAGAGACACTCCAGCAGGTAGTGTTCCGCATCGGGCGGGTCGTACGATTTTGCACCGCCCGATGGCGCTGACAGTCGACGGCCCGATCCGGCCCGCCCGATGAGCAAGCGGCTCGGACGGCATCGGGCGGCCGTCAACCCGATCGTCTTGGCTACTTTCGCCGACTAGAGGGCAGCACCTGTCGGGACGGTTTGGTGTCACATGCAGGGCGAGGGGCGAGGAGGGCTGCTTCCGAGCCAGCCGATGTCCAAGCCGTGTCTTCGGCGGCACTTCGGAGCCACTTCGGTTTTTGAGTTTCGATGACACGTCGCGGTGCAGCGCTGCGGTCGAATTTTCACAGAACCCGACCGACCCGCCCAATGCGGAACACTACCAGCAGGGTCGTTCGATTTTGATCATACACGGCAAAATTAACGCCTGTCATTCCCAAGCCCACCCTGGAAAAGGGGGAATATTTTCCAGGGGTTACTTTTGCCGTGTATTTGTTTCGTTCGTCTTATCGGTTGTGGCATGCACCATGCAGAACGCAACCTCAATTTTGCAGTTTTCTCCGTACCTCAGAACATAAATCCAAGAAAAGATTCGTATCATGGAGAAAATTTGCTCCGCATCACACTTGCGCCGAATTAACCGTAATAGACCGGGGAAAGATTGCTGATAATTGCATGTCGAGAGGCGATTTGTGCTACAAACTGGCAACAGGCGGTTCTAGACTAATTCGACCCCGCTGAAAACGATGCGCCCTGTTGCCAAGCTCGATTTTTGCATTTAAGCCTCTAAATTCAAGATGGCGTCCAAAATGGCCGCCAAAAAGCTTGTTTTTTTTAACTATCGAGGTACGCACAAGCGTCGCTGTATTCTTTTTACAGTTTAGGGGTAAAATAATATAAGGTACATATTGTGTAACCATTCCCAACCATCTACACATTTTTCAGGGGCCCAAATGCCAAGGTGGCGTACGAAAACGTCAAAATACACCAAATATCCGTGTTTTGAAACGGTTTTGTGCTCCTTTTGCTCGTGATTCACGTCCAATGGCAGCTCTTGTCAATCTTCGTAAATTTCCACGCTTTCGGAATATAAAAGGTCTAATGTGGAAGGGTTTAGCTGCTAAGATGGCGTCCGAAAACGTCAATAAGTACGAAATATTGCTGTTTTCCCGGGTCATTTGCCTCATTTCGTTCGGGTTTCGTGTTCGATGTCAGTACTCATTATCCTTTGTACATAGTAAATAGCAGTTCTTGTCAATCTTCGTAAATTTCCACATTTGGAAACGTCCTGGATCCAATGCGGGAGGACGTATGTGCCAAAATGGCGTCCGAAAACATCAAATAACACGAAAATTCGATCATTATTAGTGTTTCTGCCTTTTTTGACCCGTTGTGACGTGAGTTGTCAGTTCTGTCACATTATGCATGTGGTAGAGTAGCGAAAGCCCCAGGGCGAACAATCGATTAAACGAGCAAGGGGCCTAAATGCATGAGAGGGCAAGCAAGTCTCAATTTATTCTTGCATTCATGAGTCGTGCCTCTAATTCATACTTAAAATGACACGTTGAAGGCTCACTCTCTCATTCCAGGAACTTGACGTCACGTTGAAACGAATGTGACACGTTCCCTAGAGCATTGTGTCACATTCGTTTGAATGAAAATAAGGTAAGTTATGACTGATTCACATCGAAACGAACGTGACATTTTGTCACACGTTATTGGGATGAGAGTGTTTAAAACGTTCAAAATTAAACTTAGTATCCGTTTGTCGTATCTGTGGACGTTTCGCACCCCACCATGCGGCACTTACCGTAAACCGGGGTAACTTGAGACACTTCTGCTTTTCCGCCGTTTTAGGAGGTGCCACCTAGCTCGGCACATTCGGAGGTCAAAACTGCCCTAGCACGTGTTTCATACTTGTTTGGAAAGACGATAAGGTGTTTGAACGGCGGGTAAGGACCAGGCTCACCACTTTCATAACGATGTTTCAATTTTAAGAACTTTAACAATTTTAGAGGAGTGTGACGAGTCTCTCTCGGTACTCGAAACAAGTCTTGTTTAGACTCAAATGACTGCAGTTTAGTCTAAAAATCCAAACGCTAACGTCAATTGGTGCGATGCAAAAGCATTGCACATGAAGTGCAATACCTCCCCATTCCCATGCATTTGCATAGGGCATTTTCGGGACGCATTGCACGTATGGTGCGATATCTCAGCTGCATTGTACCATACGTGCTATACTCATAGCGTATGGAATCTCCTCAACCCTATTGTTTGAACATTCTAAATGTAGAATTGGTTTTGAGGGGAAGCCATCACTCATCGGGCAATATTGCCTTTTTTTTTTTAAAGAAAATGGTAACTGTACGGGGTAATTTGAGACACCAAGTTTCATCGAATTTGACGGAAGTTAAGGGGCGTAACACAATAACTCACCTCCTCCGTTTTATCATCATAGCCAAGCCGCAATTGACGGGAACCATTTTTTCAGACAGTGTAGAGGGTCCCAAGTTGATATGCAGCTTAAAGTTGGAGTATTTTCTCAACTACGAACGGACCTCATGAGACTCAATAGATCTGAAGGTCTCTAAATATGGGGAATTTCATTACCTTCCCAGCGAGCTTAATGTCATTGAGATCGGACGACTTTCAGCCCAAGATCCGTCGATTTTAAAAAATAATACTACGGTGATAACAGTGGTAAAACAAAGGCGTTGAAATTATGCCATTTAAGGGCGAAAACGACTTACGCCCTCAGAGCGGCGTAAATCGTTTGTGCCTTTTGGCAGGGCATTAAAATTTTGCTAAACAATTCCTACGTTATTAACGCCCTTTCGAAGGGTATAAAAGGCCTTACGCCCCTTGCGGGGCGTAAAAGAGTGTTTCCCGACCTAGACATCACGTGACTATGTACAAAGAATAATGAGTACTGACATCGAACACGAAACCCGAACGAAATAGGGCAAGTTTCCAGGAAAAACAGCAATATTTCGTACTTATTGACGTTTTCGGACGCCATCTTAGCAACTAAACCCTCCCACATTAGACCCCGTATACTCCTAAATCGTGGAAATTTACGAAGATCGACAAGAACTGCCATTGGATGTGAATCACGAGCAAAAGGAGCAGAAAACCGTTTCAAAACACGGATATTTGGTGTATTTTGACGTTTTCGTACGCCATCTTGGCATTTGGGCCCCTGAAAAATGTGCAGATGGTTGGAAATGGTTACACAATATGTACTTTATATTATTTTACCCCTGAAATGTAAAAAAAATACAGCTACGCTTGTGCGTACCTCGATATTTTAGAAAAACAAGCCTTTTAGCGGCCATTTTGGACGCCATCTTGAATTTAGGGGCTTAAATGCAAAAATCGAGCTTGGCAACAAGGCGCATCGTTTTCAGCGGGGTCAAATTAGTCTAGAACCGCCTGTTGCCAGTTTGTAGCACAAATCGCCTCTCGACATGATTTAAAGAGCCTTTTTCAGGAATCCTTCCCGGTCTATAACATGGCCAAAATTTCATTGTCAGGCATTCAGAGCGCAGACTTATGCTGTTCGCATCCCAGAAAACAGGGATTAAAAAAGTAGTCAATAGCCGTTGGCGGAAATCAGCAATAATGACGTCGCCTTCCCGTGGCACTGGTTTCGGAGCTAGAGCCGTCGGCTGAAGGCCACGGCCATGGCCCAACCGGAGAGACCATCGCGTGACGAGTTGTGGCCTGGGCGTAGTGTTTTTGTTGTTCTTTATTTTTCGCTGTTCTCTTTCTCCCGTCACCAGCCTTTCCCTACCTCTTCTCCTGGTCCCTCCCACGCACTTTACACTGCGAAAAGTTTTGACGGTCATTGATGCCAATTTAGGCTAAAGGTTCCTTGAAATAAAGTAACATTGTAAATAAATTCCGTACTTTTGTACGTACACACGCTTAATGTCTTCAAGGCGAGTCTTTGTATGCTGGTGACAAATCTTCGTACTATGGTACGAGGCTGCTGCGCTCGTGTCGTAACCTATGAAGTCGAATTCTTTAAAGAAATTGGCGCAGTTTCTCTAAAGTACAAACGATTCTCGCACCATAACATGACAGTACAGCCTCTTTTCGTCAGGAATAAATAATTAAGCGAGCGGAAGTACGAAAAAAAGTACGGAACGTCCGTAGTTAGTCTATTATGAACCCATATAAGATAAGTTACTTCTCTTCAGATAAAAAATTCGATTTTCGAAAAAAAAAAAGATTTTTGCAGAAGTCTATCATTTTGTTGGACTCACCTAAAATCCCAGAACTCGTGCCTCTTCGGGTGGAGTGTTTCATGCCGCAGGCCGTATGAATTGCCTCTGAAGTTGGTCAGCCAAACGTCAAAACCAGCGTTCACCAGTGACGTTGCTAGATACGAAACAAAAAAGTGCACTTTTATTGAACGCTGAGAAAGGGATGATCTGCTCCTTGATCAACTAGTTTTCACCACTATTTCACTCTAGTTCTTAATATTGACATAGCACTTTTTTGACATTTTCACTATGGTTCCTAATATTGATAATATACTATTATGTAATTTTCACTTTAGCTTCTAATGTTGACAGTACACTATTTTGGCTGTGGCGGTGGCGCGAGGGGGGCGGCGGTTTCTGTAGTTGAAATAGTTTAGGCCCCACAATTCATAAATTTCAGTATGTCAGTTGAAATTGTCAACAAACATCTTGATTTAGACGGGTACATTTATTACAAAGTAAACAGCAACAGGTGCTCCCACCTCGGCTCCCACTGGACTGGACGACGCTTGTCCTCACGAGCATTCGCCAAACCGGAAGGAAGGGGAAACAACCAAGGTCGTGAGGAACATGAAGCGCGTCGCTCGAGACCCCACATTTTAGTGTCACCCTTTCACGGTCTGACTAATATGTCTCACCCCTTTAAAGGTGAGAAGTCTCACCTTTTTATTTTCAGTAGATTGAGCTGTTTTCAAAGCAAATCCTGTGGAGAAGCCTCACCTAAGTTCGGCTCGCGCAGGACCCACATTTCGCTGTTGGAGGCCAGCCCCGCAGACACCAGTACCGGAGTGTTGTGAGGCGGTCTGTCTCTGGGACTTTTCTGCTTGGCTCCGGAGATGCGATGCACTGTGAGAAGATAGCCGTCTGGTGTGGGTATTGTATGGACTGCCGCGTCATAGCCCAAATTCTCGATAAGCCGCTCCTAGAACAACATTGGAAAATGACTCGATACATGGTTAAGGGGGCATTCTACGAAAAATGTCGAAGTTTTAAAAGTCTGTTGCATTGTTTACATTATTTGTTGACCTCATAGTTGAAAACGAAAAAAATTAGTGGTTTACACATTGCTTCAAATCTAGTCAAAGAGTCTTGCATATTTTAGTTTTACTTGTGAACTTCAAAAAGTTTCTTACTTGAAGTATTTCATTGTGAAAATCAGTTTAAATGTTGGTTTGGACATTTATTTTACTCCCTTAACCACACTCTGCGGACTAAGGGCCCCCTGTGTTGCCCATCAACCTCACTAAGCAACAGTGAGAGGCTCATGCTTGACAGAGCCGTTCGTTGAGCGTCCATCCTTAAACCTTATACAGATCAAACCGAGGTATAAGTATGGCTTTGGGACCATTGCATGCATGATTGTTGTTTAATTTTTTTTGAAGATGCACACCAAATGTTTATGCAGAATTTTACACCTGTAACTTGCATGATTTTGTGCATACACTGTGACAGTTTTGGCAGTCACATGGCAACTTTAAGACTAATTTTCCTCACAAGGACGTTATTACAACATTGGATGACATATTTGTCACGCCCATGCAGAAAGTATAGGAGCCTTAATGAAAATGTCATCACTTTGTGGTGACATTGTAATAATTTGGTGGTGTTAAAAATTTCATCCACATTTTGACAGTGTACGTGGAATTTGCAAAATATTATGCATAAAAATGCATAAATTTATGAAAATTTAAGTACAGTTTTATGCAAATTTGAGTACAATTTTATGGAAAATGTTTTACAGGTTAAAAACCATGCATCACCACGTACAAAATTGTACACAAACACTCACTAATCTTTAAGAATTTTAAAGTGACATTCCATCTTAAAAAAAAGGCTTAAAATCATGTAATGTTTCCTGTAAAACAACGGTTTGTTACGTATGGGGGAAAGAAGAAGAACGTGTCCAGAAAATAGAAAAAGGGTCGCAAACCCTTACACACATTGTCAGCATCATCTCACTTCAGAAAACCTCTTCAAACCCAGCACCACATGTGGACTGGAGGTAATGAGCTGATGAAAGAGTTATTTTTAACGAGTGAAGTGGATAGGTTTTATGGCTGAACTCACCGTAGGGGCCCACATTGAATCTGGGACTAGCTTAGTCTCGAAGCCTCTTGGCTTCCTGCAGTAGGTTGTAACATAAGAAGGCCAGACGACACTGAGCAGTACCAGCAGCTGTGCTGCACTGAGAGTCATTAGAAGCGGCTGAGAAGGATAAAGCGTCGATGAAACATAAGTCTTAACTCACACATTTTTCATAAAGGGCTGATGCACACCAGTAGCATGATGAAACAAGTGCAACCGTAAACTAAAACATTGAAATCCTATGAGATCCGAGCTCTGACGGTGCCGGTTTAAAATGCTTCATTTCGTGCCCGATTTCCAAATAGTTCCTGCCATTATTTTCCAGAGTTCACGCATGCAGTCACGCATTTAGTCTCATGGGCGCGGGCGACTAAAAATTTATGAGAGGATGTACTGTTTACTCTTAAGAAAACCATAACAAATGTCTGGGACAATAAGAAGGCCAATATGTCCTCTCCAAAATACAGCTGAGTTCAGACTTACAAGTTGATAAATAGGTGAGACGTGAGCTTTCTTTAATTACGAATCGGGCAAAATCAGAGTTGTTTAAGGGCATACCCCGGACTCAATTTAGTAAGTGTTCGTGTGAGAGTCACCGGAATAAAAAAATCTCCTCTGTGGCAGTGCGGAGACAAAAAAAGAGAGGGACAAAAGATGCATTTTCAATGCGAACCACCCTTAATTGCAGCTCAAGTTAACGTTCAAAAAATTTACCGAAAAACAACACTGCACGCACGAAGAAGCAGACATTTCACTCCACGTCTTGAATGTTCCCCAAACGCGTTGACGGCGACCGGTCGCAGGCACCTCGTTCCGACGCGTCTTTGCCCCGGGCCGCCAGACTGGCCACTGGTGCCGATGGCGGAAGGCCGTGGAAGGCGGGGGAACCGGCATTACGCGGCACCCAAAAAAAGGTCAGAAACTTATTAAAGTAGGAGGAGAACCTGCTGCCAGTACACAACAGGCATAGACGGCCCAGGGTCATTCTCCAGTCCAAGACCTTACCTATCCCACTTCAGTCGCGGAGTCGTGATCCATTTCACTCTAAAATATTACACTGAAATTTGAGCTACTATACGTTACTCGTACAAGTGAATGCGGCGCGAGCATGTACGAAGCAATATTTCCTCGTAATACAAATCTTTTTAAGCGGTCTTGCTACCGCTTCTAGCTCTGCACCCGATCCCACTCATCCCATCCCATCCACCCATCCATCCATTCAGCGCGCTGGGAGGGGACTGCATAGAGAAGCTCCAGACAAAAAAAACCACTTGGTCGGCGACATCCTAGGAGCGGGCGCTTGTGGTGTTTTATCGGTTCCTTCTATGTATACGAACTGCCGAAAAGACACTTGGACGAAATCCGACACCCCCTGTGGCTTTGGTACGGGTCTAAACACCCCAAAAACAGCTGTTTTCGAGGGTTTGGGACTAGATGGGTTCTCGCAAACCGAGATCCAAAAAAGTACCCAAATGGGTCTCAGATACTCAAAAAAATGCGCTCTTTCGAATGCCGTGTCGAACGAGGCTCTACGACGTCGGGTTTGGATGCTACGGGCTCTCAAAGTTGCTCAATTTCACTATTTTTACTGAAGATTTGAGCATATCAGGGCCGTTTGAAGTAGACCATCGGCGATTTCGCTCCTCTTTGTCTTAAATGGTGCCTACCCATAGGTAAACACCCCCACAAAATTTCAGCCATGTCAGGCAATTATTAGAGGAACTGTGAACAATTTAAGTTTTGGGTCATTTTACCACTGGGCTTAGGTGTTTTTGGGTCCAGAAAAAATAATTTTTTTAGCTATCTACTTTGGATCAGCACCTCTTGAAACGCCTTTTTAACATGGTGCCTCAAAACTTTTTTTCGAGGACAAACTTGTCTTTTTCTAGCTGTAATTAGAACATAACTTGGAGAAAAAGGCAAGTTTGTCCTCGAAAAAAAGTTTTGAGGCACCATGTTATGCACCATGAGGCACCATGAGGCACCACCGTTTCAAGAGGTGCTGATCAAAAGTAGATAGCTAAAAAAATTATTTTTTCTGGACCCAAAAACACCTTAGCCCAGTGGTAAAATGACCCAAAACTTAAATTGTTCACAGTTCCTCTAATAATTGCCTGACATGGCTGAAATTTTGTGGGGGTGTTTACCTATGGGTAGGCACCATTTAAGACAAAGAGGAGCGAAATCGCCGATGGTCTACTTCAAACGGCCCTGATATGCTCAAATCTTCAGTAAAAATAGTGAAATTGAGCAACTTTGAGAGCCCGTAGCATCCAAACCCGACGTCGTAGAGCCTCGTTCGACACGGCATTCGAAAGAGCGCATTTTTTTGAGTATCTGAGACCCATTTGGGTACTTTTTTGGATCTCGGTTTGCGAGAACCCATCTAGTCCCAAACCCTCGAAAACAGCTGTTTTTGGGGTGTTTAGACCCGTACCAAAGCCACAGGGGGTGTCGGATCTCGTCCAAGTGTCTTTTCGGCAGTTCGTATACATAGAAGGAACCGATAAAACACCACAAGCGCCCGCTCCTAGGATGTCGCCGACCAAGTGGTTTTTTTTGTCTGGAGCTTCTCATAGTCGTGTTGGTCGTCGTCGTCTGTCGTCGTCCTGCGCCGCCACGCCGCGCCACCTCGCCGCGCCAGTCCCCACTCCTCACAGCCACCCCGTCCCTCCTTGCCCCATCTCTGCCCTAAGGTGTACTCTGCCCGCCCGGGCTCCCCTGCCGGTCCACGGCAAGACCGCTTTGCTAAGCTTGCCTTGGCAGAACTTTTTAGTATTTTCATGGTAAGATACAAAGAAAAACCTTCGTAATACGGAGAGAAAACCACCTTCGTATTATTCTTGCGCCATTTCCCTCGTGTTACGGTAAATTTCTTCGTGAGATATTTTGAGTGTTGTAGCTCTCAATTTGATCAGGATGGACCATAGCGGCGTGGGGTCGGGTAGAATGAGATGTTTATTTCCCAATAATCGCATGACGTACGAAGTCGTCTCTGCAGATCAATTTCAATCGAATGGTTTTTTTCGGTCCACATCTTCCGTATTATCAGGGTTTTCGGGCTCTTCAGACCTCCCTTCTCTTTCATTAAAAACAAAGAAACAAGACATTAAAACGACGATTAAACGTTGCAAATGGTCCTGAATCGATCTCGATTTTCCATCAGTGGTTTGTTTCAAGCGTTCCAATCGTATCCCTTTCGAAATCGGTCAATGCATGCCCCAATAGAACAGGGAAACCCAAGGGAAAACTGCTTCTTTTTACCAATTATAACAAAAATGTGGAGATATTTTCTCTGCATCTGCACTTTAAAAAAAGGGCTCCCCTAAAAAATACTCTCAATTGAAGACAAGAAAATAGGAGTGTTCGTCGGTGATTGTACTTGGTGCAAACTCTAATTCGCTTTTCCCAGAGGGAATTAGTACCTGATAATGGCAAATGGTTAGAACTTAAGCTAAATTTGTGGATTTGTTAAGATTTATACCAACTCTGAACGCTGCATTACGCCTTAGTTGCATTAAGCATTGGGACATTCCATGTGAAGTCAACCAGGCCTTAGCCACCAAGGGCTCCGATCCGGTTCTCGTTTTCAGGGTTTGTTTCCCCTATAGTCCCATGAAATAATCGGTACTTGGTTTGGGGTCCGGCCCCCCAGGGGCTGGGCTATGGCCAATTTACTTTCTTGCTAAATATTGAAACAACGCAACTTCACTGTTAAAAGAAACTGTAGGAAAACAGCACATTTACCAACGAGTGATTTGCTTTTAAGCAGCACGTGTCATCGGAACTTAAAACAGCACAAATGCTGTTAGGAAACAGCAAGTTTCATCATTGGAGAAAACAACAAATATAGTCGATTTCCAATGCTGGAAAACAGAACATCTTGTTTGTAAAATTAATGATATATGCTGTTTTGGAACGGTATCCTGTCATTTAAAAACAACACCATTCAATTGAAGATTTGCCGGAGCATTTTGCAGCTCACGGCTCAAATCAAACTCCAACTATGTCAAAATAAATTCTGTTGTTTCTGAACAGCATTTGTGTTGTAAAGTTTTTTAGCAACACTTCCAATTTTTGGCTGAGCGATAGCGAAGCCCTTGCCGTGTTTGGGCGCGCTGAAAAGTGACTGGTCGTGCGTCTGTCTGTCTGTCTGTTTGTACTCACCAACGATTCTCAGCAACTGCAGTGGCTATAGTTTCAAGATTTCGTATTTAACGTCGCCGTAGCACCCCCCAACACGAGTTTGTTCCAAATCGTTGTTTAGTATCGTTTGAAATATTCAAAACATATTTTTGAATCAGGTTATTAGCGTGGTTAGGTTGGCAGCACACACACCAATTTCTCATACCTGCGGCCGCTGCTCTCAAATACGGGACAGAAGCAAATAAGCAAATAAAACAAAATAACGAGCAGAAGGGTTTGGAAATGAGATCGGCCTTAGTTTTTCAACATTCTAGAATGATTAAAACCCTTTTGGAACACCAACACAGCGAAATAAGGAGAATGGATTTGAAAATGATTTACGTGTTTCGTTCCCCTCTCCCCCCTCCACTGTCAGAGGGGAATCATCTTCAGGTCAGTGCACTTTGACAAAGCATTGTAAAAAGAATGTTTTTATTTTGACCTTTTGTATTGTGTGCATCTTCTTATTTCATTTTTGTGTCATCCTCTTTTAAAAATTTTCAAACTAGAGGAAATCAGGGAAATGCATAAATAACTTGTGTTGAAATTGGCTGGCATACTTAGTTTGGACTCGAGAAATGCATTCTTTTGCAATGCTGCAAGCTGACAAGAGTGCAAAAGCACTAACATGTGTTTATTAATAGAATCAATGTATGGTTGTGTATATTTAATCCTAATAGAGTTTGAATTGATATTGGGTTCAAAGAGACGACTCAGGTTTTGAGCGGTGAGTCAATTAGTGCATAGACAACCAACTATATATATGATTAGTGATGGGATTTAATGAGACGATTCCTTTAACTTCACCAAAGTTAATATAACTGATACTACTTAGTATTGTTTACATGAGTAAGATAAATTATGTCGGTTCATTAAGCCTTGGGTAGCCTTGGCATTGGACTCTATGTGACGAAACACTGGATTTGACAATAATTGGTCCCCGCTAACTGGTTCAGATCAGCCTACCCTAAACTGACTCTCTCAATATTAACTGTGATAACATATTCCAATCAATATTGTTTTATTCACTGGTTCACAATGAAAGATTGACAAAATGTTTCATGACTATTACTTATAAAATTGTGAGTTCATAAGTTAAGAAAAAATAGTTATCGAATAGTGACCCAAGCATACGAGTAGCCAATAAAGCGATTGAATGTTGGCAATTGAATTTTACTCGACTGATGGATTCGCTTTGGTGTGCCATCAGGGAATTGGTGACGACAGAGGGTGCTTCATGAAGACAAATAGAAACAATATACAGAAATTGAGTCTAAAGTATTGTGTGTAGTTTTCAGTGTACTGGTCACAAAAACTACATTTATTTCAACGCCAATCCTACATTTTCATCTAATTGCATCCTACGCAATTTAGGGCCAAACTTTCCAAGAGAGTAACTCCACCCCAAGGTGGACCGAGATCTGGGATTGAGTCACGGATTCGGTTCAAACTTTGTGGGTTCAATAGGTACCACTAGGACCTATCAACCCTAAAAGGAAAGTTGGCTAGCTCAAATAGAACCTGAGATATTTGCATTTTTCTAAATTTGACTAATTTAGCGGAAAAATGTCGCTTTCTGATTTTTTATTGGTAAAAGTTGTTCGCTTAGTTCTGGCTTATGTTTCTTCTTTCTAGTCATAAAAAAAGGAG